TGTACCTAATATTATTATAATCGCTATCGAGTCGAGTAGTTTTCTACAAAAAATTTATAAATATTACATTGTTATCGTCGCGACCGTGATTTAAACAAACACTTGTCACACAACTGTTATAACTGTTATTATCATTATAATGGTTGAGTCTAATCAGACGGGCTGACTACTCGCTGGAATATTTTTTCTGTCCGTTAGAAAAAAAATAATAGTAGCTAGGCAACGAGACTCAATGAAAGAATCGAACATTTATATAAAAAGCGCACAAGACGATGTTATAAAATCTGTAAATAGGTACGTGATTTGGTCTGGTACTCAGTTGGTACAAGACGGACATGGAGACGGAAATCGGCTATAATGTTCACATTATCCGTTGCGGATTATGCTTGGATCGTGTTACAGATTATATCAAACATATTATTATAATATATTCGCATGAAATCATCCCGTCCATGTTTTGTTGATATAATAATATAATATTTAGGATATGATGGTGTACAGTGCACTATTAAATTGTATTAAAATTCAACAACAAATAAGCGAGCGACAATAGTGGAATCGCGGTGGCGGCGACGGTGGTGGATCGGTGGTGAAAGTGGTGATCTTTGAAAATATTATATTGTTGTTATCATTACGACGACAATAGATCCAATATATATAATAGTATAATATATCGTATATTGTCGGCCGTTTCATTGTGAGATCCGGTGTAAATCGGTGGCACTACACAATGTGTTGTGTAACCTTTTATATATGTATGTACGCTTGTGTATTATAATCATAATCATGGTCGTAATGGTATTTGGCAACGACATAATCTTTCCGGAGAACGCGATTTCCTTAAAAAAAAAAATCATAATAATACTATTCTACAGCTATGTGTATCTACTCAAGTGTTGGCATACAATATTATTGTGATCGCGCATGACAAGTGAGTAAATCGATCAAAGCCGGTCCCAGACGTTAAACGCGAGCTGTGGCGGCGTGTGTTTATATAAATGTAGTATAATACAGTGTATTATATTATTATTGTGCAGACATCTCACAATACTGTGTAAAAAAACTCATATTATAGGGCGTACACGAATACTGTTTGTGAGTTGTATATATTGATATTCGAAATAAATTGCTTGGCTGCTGCTGGCGAGACGGAAATTTTGTCGGTCGACGGCGGTTGCGCAAAACCAAAACGGGCTGTGGTGTGTATTAGGGCAAATCAAATGTGACCGGTGCACTTACATTATTTATTTTATTAATTTCACGGTTTTATCAGTGAACATAATAGCGACAGTTGCACCGTGTGTGTGTGTGTGTGTGCACAGTATGATGGTACGTCAAGCTGGCGCCGTTAACACTGAAATCCCTGCGCTGCTAGGTTAGGTTATTGACTGGCCGAATGGAACTCAAGAACGATTCCGACTAATCGTAAAACCAATTTTCGATTATGCACGAATTCGAACTGTTCGGGAGAAATTTTTTTCTTAATATAACCCAAAGTAGCTGTTCAATAGACAAACATTCCTAAAAGAACTATAAGACTAAAACTGACAACTCACTTTTATGAATATTGTTGTTACCTTTTATTACCTAGAAACTCAAACATTATTAAATATAGTTAAATTTAAGTTGAAAAGTTCTAATATCGAGTTATGTGATTTACTCTTGGACAAAATGAACTGGAAAAAATCAAAATGTTTAAAAATATTTTTAATTATGACCAATGTATGAACTACGAGTATGTTTTCAACAATTAAACATTTATATTTTAAACGTTACATATTATATAATGTTGTTTTTGTCTTCCATGTAGAGAATTAAAGTACAGTGTACACTCAAACACATTTAGACTACATATCGAATACTTGAAGTTAACCATACTAACAGTAATAAGTAATAACAATAATATCAATAATTATAATAGATACAATAAAAATAGTATACGTAAGTATTAAAGTTTTTTTCGATTTATGTTGGTGTTTTGTATTTTGCAGAAGCTAGACTTATAAGTCTTATGACTTTTGAGTTATGTGGTCTAACTGTATCTTACACATTACCCAGCTGGCGACTTTACAACCCGTAGTCTTATCGTATTAAATCAGATGAGAAACATTTTCGTATCTTAACTAATAAACTTTTGTCTAAATCGATTAATATCAGCGACACGACGACTCCTTTACAGATATTTTTACAGGACATAGAGTAATATGAGGTAGCTGTCACCAATAAATTACAATAAGAGCACAAATACCTACTTAGATAAATTATATGACTATCCAGAGAATGTCTTATAAAAGTGAGTAAGTAATATAAATAAACAGAAGCACAATATCCTAAATTATGTATTTGAACAATTTCTAAAATCTAAGCATATATTTTCATCCCAATCCTAAGTAGAATGGCCTGAATAGTATAATGAAAAATGATTAAATTAGATCAGGTTACGTTTTCACCCCTTTTAAGGGAAAAGATTTTTAATATATTTTTGCCTTGTCAACTTATATCGATAACTGTATTTAAAGAGCATTCCATAAAACATTGAAACTATTTCGATCCCTGAATTTTTAATAGATTCGTAGAATTATTGTTATTCTGAAAGTAGTGTTAAAAATAAAACATCATTTAATAAGGGATTGTCAATATTATTTTTTATAAGATCTAGTTATAGTTTTTAGTAATTTTCCCAATATGAACTATTAATTACCACTCTAACTGGGATGAAATAATTATTATTTATAATTAAACAACTCAAAGAATCTGATTACACTAACGTTGGTATATGATAAGTTTTATATTCAACTGACCGATTTTCCTAAAAATTAAAATTTTAAAAGTTGTGTAGGTAATGAAGGTAAAAGTGTCCAGTGGTGGACATTATTTAATAGCTCATATTGACGGGAATAACCCTATTGATAGCCTCTGAAATACATGTGAAGATGGGTGGATGCTGTATAGATTTGTTATAGAATTTATAGGTATTTTACCTTGCCACAGTTTACTCATAATAATGCATAATAAAAGTAAAAAGTATAACCACAAGGACCATTTTTAACCTTGTGTAAAATCGAATTGGTTGTAACTAAAATGTTATAACCAATGATTTGTGTACATGATACTATAATATACTAAAATAGGTCATTTAAGAGTTGAATTATGGAACTATAATATTTAATACAGTATTAATTGTATTTTAATACAAAATACATACATTTAATTTAATAACATACCATGTTATTATGGTAAATCACCACAGTGATTATTGAATAATATCTTACTACCTATTACTTTTAAATATATTTGTAATAAAATAACACACAGACTATATTGATCTAATTATTAATTTCGATATCACACTGTACTGTAATGTACAGGTTTAATAGTGTAATAATGATGTATACTAATATTGAGTAATATATAACGTTGTTAAGATATCAGGTACCAAACATTAATTGAAAATTTTATACTATAATAAAGAATAATTCTTGATATAACACTGAACTGTTTGGTTATGCAAGTGATTTATTCAATAGAATATTTAATCAATGTAGTAATCAAGTGTATTACATTATCTAGTCAATACATAAAAACTGTCGGTATGCTTTCATAATTACTTATTAGTGTTCATTCATTGGACAATATAGTGAGTATAATTATCTGAAAAGACCAATTACGCTGTTTATTACTCTTGTATTGCTATTGCATAAAGTGTCAATTAATTTCACAGATACAACGCAAAAAAAAAAAATACAATCTATCCATAATAACATTTTGTTGTTCAATTACTAATTCAATTTAGCTGATGACTTTTAAATTATTTTTAAATTTCAAAATTCATAGCGACTTTTTTGTTTTTTTTCTCAAACTTTAATAGCTGCATATTTGTTGAAAATGTCTAGTGTTACGCAAAATTATACTTGCGGACTACCAAAGAGACACGCAATTAAAGTTGTTTTTATAGGAGTAAATGAATCGAAACCCAAAAGATTAGGACCTAGATAAATGGGATCTTAACGATTTTTCGATATTTAATCATTTTAAATAATTGTATTTTATACTAACGGTAAGTAATTGCAGAGTCCTAGACTGAGTTCGCCTGCAATAATCGGATTCCATTTGTATGGAACTTCGGTATTTTAATAACACTAATTGATTTATTATGAACTTGATTTAGTGTTTTCCGATGGTCTAAACTTACTTTTGTATTTTTTTAATTGAAAAACAATTTTGTTATAGCGGTTTACCATAGTGTCATTACTTTAAGCAAAGCCAACAGTTTTAAAAACGTACTGCTCATATATTTGTATTGTGTTATCTGTAAGTCTTGCAACGCCCAAAGCATTTTAAATTTTACTTAAAATAAAAATATTATAGGGTAGAACGTTATAACGTATTTATAACGTTCATAAAAACGTTATAAATATTATAGGGTTTTTTTTTTTAATTATTTCTTTACATTAATCTATATTCTTGAGTTTGTCCAATAACAAATTGATTTTTTACATATAATTTAATTTAAAATACTTTAAGTATTAAAAAGTGTTACACGTGCTCTTAAAATATACGTATTAATATAAGTATATAAATATAAATATAAGTATTTATGCTCAGTAGTGCAATAAACTTATATATATATTTTTCTTTTTGGGGGTTCCTACTATAATAATAATAATCCGAAATAAACGATTAGTAAAATGTATTCTTTGTCGGTTATATTTTAAAAATGTTGAGTGGATTTCAAGTGACAAAGGAGAGCTTAGCTTAATTGCACCACTGTGTATGATTTATGTGTACACTGTACATATATCGATTTGTATTAGGAAAATGCTACTAATAGAATTTAATCTTACAGCTTAACCATTTTAACATTTGTTAATGTTTTTGAATGCATTAAATACACGAGGGACTTGATTTTGGCACAACAATCACATTTATTTTTATTGTGTTAGATTAAATTGCACAACAGAAGTACTTAAATTAATAACAGCATTATTATGTCATTATAGGTTGCCAGTTTTATCCTATCGACAACCACCACAGAATAGTACGGTTACTAGAAACCGCAGCCGTCGGATCTGAAGTGACACAAATCGAAGTGCACCCGAGGAGAAGCCTCAGCTTGCAACCAGTGGAAAATGTAATAATATTGATGAAATAAAAAGCAAAATGATAAACTAGTTTATAGAATACAATTTTCTTTAACAGAACGATGACGTGGCGTTCTTTAAATTCCGTACAATCAACCGAACGACGATTTCCCTGAGGTTAGCGCGGTCCCTGGGCGACTTAGTAGATCGTCCTAACCCTATTGACAAAATCAAAGTCAAACTTGTGTGCGGTGTCGACGACACATCGGTAAGCTAATTTACAGTAGAAAAACTTGAATAAAAAAAATGTCATCTGATATAATTGATTTTGGTGATAAGTAAGTAACTTTAATATTGCTTAAATTACCTTATTATAATATAATTATATATTTCTACACGTTTGGATCGATTTTTATCTTGAAATGAAAAAGTTTGGCTAAGACATTATAATATGTAAAAGTATTATTTACTCATCCAGTTTCATTTAATCACCTGGCAATTTTGTATTATTATAAATCTTTAAATAATCGAGCATTCAAATGTCTACTAACGTACGTTTGATTGGCATATAAAACTATAAATGTAATATTATTTGTTATTTTTATAGTATTATTACATATTATAATATTATATATCACGGTTTATTTATTATTAATTATAATGCACTAATTAACTAGGCTAGCGCGTCGGTGATGATTACAGTCGAAATCGAGGATGTAAACGACAACAATCCGTTCTTCATCGGTGCACCATATAACGCTGAAGTTTCTGAATCCATACCAATCGGTAAAAGTTACACATTATTTCTTTAATGAATATTGAAAAACAGAATACATATATTATATGTTTTTTTTATAAAAATTTAGGAACGACTATCGTGAAAAACATAAGAGCTTTGGATGCCGACAAACCGTCAACTCCGAATTCCGATGTACGTTACTTAATCGCAGCTTCTAAGTCCCAAGCAAAATTTTCGTTGGTCATGGATGCCGATGGGTCGGCTGCTATCATACTGAAAGAGTCGTTAAATTATGATAGCGGAGACGACCGTTTTCTGTTGGACATTTTCGCCAAAGACGAAGGGATACCGTCGAGAAACACTAGCACAACAGTCGACGTGAGGGTGAGGCGCGATGAGTCGAGAGTACTAAAATTTACCAACGAGGTGTATCATAGTCAGTTCAAAGAGCATTTTCCAATTACGGTACGCGTTATAATCGCATTGAAAATGTTATAAATTAATCAACATAGTTTTTTTACGCAGGGCAAACGGATTATTCAAGAGATTTTGTTTAATCCGCCTATAAACGCGTACTACGGCAACAACGCTTTGAACTCAACCATAAGATACGCGTTGGCGTCCGACTTCGATGAAGATATATTTCACATAGACCATATGACCGGTAAAATTTACTTAAATAAAGAAATCGACGCTGACCTGCTGCCATCAAATATATTTTTACTTAAGGTAATCGTCGAGCGAGCATAAAAAATCATCTTCTTTTTAGTAGTAATATAATTCAAATTTGAACGCAGATTCAAGCTATGGACATGAACAACCCTTCGAAAAGGACGTTCGCCGAAGTTGAAATTGAAGTGACTGATGTAAACGATAATCAACCCAAGTTCGAGGTGGATGCCTACAATGTCAGTGTACCCGAAAATATTCCTAATGGGTACAATGTACTCAGAGTGGTCGCTACCGATCTTGACCAGGGAGACAACGGTGAGTTCGTCTACCATCTGGTGGATCCCAGCCAAGCGTTCACCATTGACGGTAAGACCGGGTGGATAACAGTGCGGAATCATACGAAGTTGGACCGCGAACAAAAATCTAGCTTTTCTCTCCGCGTGTACGCACGAGAGAAGATACCGTTTGTCATACAACAAAAAGAAACTGGGTAAGTGCAATTACTTACTAATTCAAACCTTATAATATTCAGGGAGTACTTTCGACAGTAAGTAAAATTTAATAAAAACTGCTGGACAATTGTTAGGGCTAAAGTGATATCCACTAGTGTGGGAAATAAGTGATTGAACGTTTTTAAGATACAAAGATAATAATGATTTATGTGATAAGTAGGGTGATAGTAACTGACAAAGAAGAATGAAAAAACGATTTGTAAGGTAGCTAATTCTACTTAGTGTAAATTGTGATAAAAAATAACTATACTACACAGAATTCAGTCACGTATAAACTATTAAACCAAGTTGATATAAGCATAACTGAAGTGAATTGAACAAAAAAGTACAACGCTATTTATAACATATAAGAGAAAAAAAAAATTTAAGTGCACTTTTTCATGCTGGTATTCATTAGTTCTTTTATTTTAACTCCATGGAATTAAAACCGACGACGTCAAATATTTTATACCCAGAAGCTTGTTGACAAAAATTATAACTTAAACACTTTTGACACTACCAACATTATGTAAAGTTCTTTTTATGTTATAGCGATGCATTCGTTAGTGTTGAAGTGACACTACTCGACATTAATGACAACAGTCCGGTGTTCGTTCCCAGTAACCAATACTTCTTTACTACTCGAGTGAATGTACCCGTCAAAGCTACAATCGGAAAAGTTGGCTATGATTTTACTAATTAAATGATAGTGATGGAAGTTGAGGAATGTTGGATTATTTTGCAATTATTTTTTACTAGGTTGAAGCCGTCGATCCTGACGAAGGAATTAATGGAAGGGTATTATACAAAATTCCGTATGTAGCCAATAACGATTCGGATATTTTTGGAGTTAATTCCGACACCGGCGAACTGTTTGCTATCGTTACTCCTTTAAATCCGGGTAAGCTCACGGTGATTGTAAACGCGTCGGATCAACCGTTAAATCCAAGTGAAATGCGATACTCACTGGCCGTGGTTACCATCAATGTCTTGGAAGAAGGTATAAGGAGAGTAAGCATCCGTTAACTTGACACATAATGACTTATAATTTTTACCGCTGCAGAAATCACCAATCCCGATTTCGTTAATGCACCTTACGAGTTTTGGGTAGGCAGCGACGTTCCTGTAGGCACTAGCGTCGGACAGATTAGGGTCGTTTCAGATAACTCTAATGTCGATTACGACCTACTACACACTTATAAGGAAGGAGGTATGTAGTATTTTAATTTTTAAACGCATGTTTTATTCACGAAATAATTGTAATGCAGTGCCGTTTGCCGTGGAAGAAAAAAGCGGTACCATATCGGTGGTTGAAGTCATAACGAATTTTGAAAGAACCGATTACGAATTTGAAGCAGTCGCAACGGACCACAGTCACATGACAATCACCACAAACGTGACCATTCATATAGTTTACTCGGATTCCAGTCAAACCTTGACAAAGTAAAAATTACGCAATTAAAAATGTTGTCTAATAGTTTAATGTTTTTTTTTTACAGAACTGTGGATCCCATCAGCTTAGTATTCCGGATACGGGAAAATCTACCAGGAATAGCGGTGGGCAGACTTGGGAATACCGATACATCGAATTCGACGAACATGTCAAAGCCTAAGTTCATAGTAGCCGATCCAGACGACGGAGAGCTGTTCACCGTGTCGGAAGATGGCGTTTTATTTACAAAATCCGGGTTGGACAGAGAGACCAAAGAGAGTTATAAACTGACGGTGATTGCGGATCGCAAGACTAAAACCGGTATCCACCATGCAACCATATTCCAGATCCGCGTTATAGTCGAAGACGAAAACGACAATGCACCCGAGTTCCAAAAAGCTAGTTACGAGGGTTCGGTATTGGAAAACAGTTTAGACGGCACCCTAGTAAATCTAAACGCTCCAATCAAAACGTTTGACAGAGATTTCGGTCCAAATTCTATGTATTCATTGATCTTGCAAGGAGAAGGTCAACGCGAATATCTTATAATATTAGGTATTTGTACAACTTAAGTTTAAACGTGTTATTTTTTGTATAGGTAGTGAAATGTTTACAATCAACAAAGAGTCCGGAACGGTAACTGTCTCGAATTTTTTACTGGACAGAGAGACTAGAAGCGTTTATCATCTAAAAATCGTGGCTACTGACAGGGGTAATCTGTCTTCGGTGGCTACTCTATCAATACGCGTAATCGACGTTAATGACAATGTTCCATCATTTACACACGTCACCGTATATCCAAATGAAAAGCTCCGAGTCGCTGTGAGTTCTCATTCAAATATTTCCGTTATACTTGGTGATTACACAGTCCCACATCGTTTGGACAATTCAACCGTTACCCTCATCGTGTGGCTTCCCGAGACCATACAACCAGGTTCGCCCGTACTAGCTGTCCAAGCTGAAGACGCCGACACAAGCGTATCGACCATCACGTACAAGTTAGCCAGAAGCGGTATGGAGTTTGCCGTTCATCCGGTTTCAGGGCAGCTATCCGTAGTCGGACAGTTGAAAATCGGCGAACAAGAGTTGAACGTCACCGCGGAGGACGGGGACGGATTAATGACTTGGATTTTATTGACGGTATACGTTGAAGAAGACTTGCTGTTTCAAAAAAGTAACCGTTAAAGTCAACCTGTTTAGGGCTTGCGTTATGTATTTGTTATTCGACGTATTTTTTAATTTTTTTTTTTATAATAGATCATTTGAGTTTTGGGTGCCGGAGGGTTCTTACAAACAACATGAAGTGGGCTGTCTGACTGCTGAAGAAACGTCAGTTTCTTATTCTCTTTCCCGGCGGAATTACAGGAATCCCATTTTTTCCGTGACGGATGGTGGATGCTTAACAGTGAGCGGTGATTTAGACAGGGAAACTAGGGACTCGTACGATCTGCGGCTATCGGGTAAAAGAAAATCGGGCGGAACTCCTTCTACCGTCGATATTATCGTTAAAGTTTTGGACATTAACGACAATGCACCGCAGTTTCGCAATCATCACAGAATTCGTAAGCTGATGGCTGACGAAATTGGACTTAAAGGATTTGAAGGTGAACTAACCGTACCCGTGTACGAGGTGACGTTGACCGAGGTCGGAACGTCTGGTACGGTGGTCACTCGAATCGTAGCGGAAGATCCTGACGGGGTAGAAGGTGGAAATTCCGAAGTGGAGTACAGCCTGTTCGGGTCGGGCGCACAGTATTTTGAAATTGATAGAAAAACCGGAGTGGTGACTTTAAAAACCCCGCTTTTAGGAGGAATTTATAACGTTACCGTGATTGCGTCAGATTCAGGTACACCTAGAAAAGACAATGCTGCCCTATTGGTAGTTAGCGTGGCTGATAAAAATTTAGACGCTGAAGAACCGCTCTTGGAACTCCGCTACTTGGAAGTGGAAGTAGAAGAAAATTGCTTAGTGCCATTAGAAATCTTGAAGCTGAATGTTACGCCACGCTACCGACGATTTGCATCGTCTATAAGCTACACTATTATTCCTTCAGAGCATAGTGAGAGTTTTGAGTGAGTGTAATATTATAAACTTAATGAACTGACAAAAAAAATATATAATTAATAATTACATAATCTTGAAAATTGTGTTCATTACAGAGTTGATTCGAAAAACGGAAATGTTTATATTATCGATAGTCCAGATCGAGAAATTACTCCAACATTGACAGTAGTGGTCCAAGTAGACGTGACGACAAGAAAGGGTAAATCCTCTTTTGCCGTTCATTCTAAAGGACAAGACATCGGTAAGTGTTTTTCACGCTTTATGTAAGACAGCAGTGTTATAATAGTATTATATTTATTTAATAAATGTTAAGCTCTCAACGAAGCTCGGATAGTGCTGAAAGTACTTGATCAAAACGACAACTCACCATCGTTCATCAATGGAACCATGCCGGTGATTGCTGCGGTTTCTTCATCTACCAGTTATGGAACGCCAGTTATAACAGTGCAGGTAAGTAACATACATATTATAATATTACAATATTTATATATTTATATTTGATTTATATTGTGTGCATAGGCTACGGATCCAGATGCGGGTATTAACTCGGATATACGGTATGAAATGGTAGGTGCTTCTGGAGAGAATAAATACTTTTCTGTCGACTCGCATACTGGACTCATTCGTACTATTGGAGGTTTAAGTCAATTAGTAAACAACACTGTGTTGGGTTTCGACGTCAGGGCAACCGACAGAGCTGGCGCTTCTGATGGTAGATCGGCGATCACTAATGTTTTTGTAAGGATGGCAACTTTGGGGATTAACGCCCTTACCCGAGCATAGTTTATTAGCTTTTGTTTCATAAAAGGTGTACGTTTTGGACGAACGCAAAGTGATCACTATGGCAATGGCAATGCAACCATCGCTAATTGAAAAACATACAGAACTAGTAACCAACTCAATGTCTAACATCACAGGGTGTACGGTCAAGATATGGAAAATTGACGCCAACCCGAATAATATGTAAGTTAATAAAAGTAACAACTTGATGATAAAAACATATCTTTACAACATATTTTTTAGGACTGATATTCTACTCTATGCTGTCGATCCTATTACCAATGAATTAGCAGATAGTGATTTGCTAATGAAGTAAGCATTTAGTAGTGAATCGTGAATTTAAACAAAAATACAACTACAGTTATATTATTTAATCTTATAACTAAATGATCTTGGTTTATAGCTTGATGTTGGATCATCAGACTACGATCAGTAATACTTTTAAACCTTTACATTTTGTCGGATTTTCTCGAATGCCTAAGAAATACGGCGACGTCGTTGTAGAACATTCGTTTAGTCTTTACACGACAATTGAACTGTTGACAGTATTATTTGGATTCTTCATATTTATGGGTGCTATTATTGGTGTGGCTTGCGTTTGCACAGGACGTAGGAAGTATGTATAACCATTCAATCAATCGAACAGCTAAATGTTGTCATAATTTTACATTTTATTATGGTACTTAGATTATGTTTATTTTATTCACTCAGAGAAAAGAAAAACAACACGCTGACTTATGGTAACTTTGGTTTTCACGAGGGATATCCGTTTACGTTAAGTGACGGTAGCTTGGCTAGACTATCGACTTGCGAACCTAGGTCTTTGGTCAACCCAACTTCGTTCGTGGAGGGCTCGGTCGTGTATGGCGGTGCGGTAATGAACCCTAAACACCTAAGAAGAGGCGTACGATGTAACCAAACCAGATCGCTGGTGCCCACTGAACCACCATCAATCCACAACAGAAGACCTCAGTGCGGGACCAGGAGTGATCCAGATAATTGTCCAACTGACTTTTGTTCATGCAGCAGCACTACTTGCAGCACGGGAACCGCTAGTCTAACGAGATCTTTTGTACTCAAGTAAGACTCTCATCACTATTGTACTACGGTAATGTGAGTTTTATAAAGTACAATGACGCCTTTCTAGGTCCAATGAGAACTTTGAAGACTCTCTGCGGTCGATGCCAGACAACACAAGCTGCCAGCGGCGCCATCATCGATGTAACGATGATTCAAATACAACCCCTGCAGATAACATTAATGTCTGCATGTGCCCTACGCTACTGTGATTAAACTGCTCATTTTTATAATATATAACTGTAAATATGTACAAACATATTATTTAATTTGTATTTTTATAATAAAATAAAAAATTTATTTATATAATATAAATGGTCGAATTTGATTAGTTTATAATAATATAGTTATTTTCTTCATAGTACGCCATCGTTACTTGTTAGAACTTTTGCTATTAAAATAGGTTTCGATTTCGGCGAGCGTTTTGTTTTCGGTTTCGGGTAAACAAAAATAAATGAATACAATTCCAAAACTGGCTAGAACACCATAAACCGCCAAACATCCATGCAATCCGATTAAGTGTTCGAGGTTCAGCCAAGTTTTTGACACGAAAAATGCAATTACATAAAATGAAGCGGCGCTTATACCACTGGCTACTCCGCGCCCTCTGCAAGAAATAATTAATTGTGAATAATTGTTTGTTTTTATATTATGATTTGAGACAACGTAGTTACCTAGTCGGAAAGACCTCGCTGATCAGTAACCACGGTATAGGACTTATACCTAGATTAATGCAGAAATAAAGACTGCAGAAAAGTATCAGTGCGACTATAGGTAACGTGTAGTTCCCATATGTGTAAATACCCATGAGCAAACAGCAAGCGGTGCATCCCGTCATGGATATTAACGACAACGCTCGTTTACCGATCAAATGTACCAGACAAAAGCACACAAAGGCTCCCGAGCACTGAAGCACTGCGGATATTACCTAAAAATTGACAATGGTTACTTAAGTTACACATGGGCAAGTAACAACAATTACGCTTACTGTAAGTACATAAGATGACAGAGGTACTTTCATGCGTAAAAAAACCTCGATCATATAAGGTCTCATGGCCGTTAAAGAAGCACAGTGATAGAAAAAGAAGTACGTGACGACTAGTCGAATTGGTTTTAAAATTGCCGGTCGTAGTAGATCTCGCAACGCGTCAATAAAGCCAGGTTTGGTTTTTACTACAAATTCGTCATCTGAAATACCAATGTGATTTCCATTAAAACCATAATAAATCGTAGTATAATTAATATTTTATGTGATACAAAACATAGCGTGAAAAAAATACGCTTCCTTTACTCGGTACTCCGATAAATCCGGTTGACTTTTTGATTCTGGACTCCCAAAATTGTGTGTATTCGTTTTTGGACGCTATACAGTCCATCTCCATTTTATCAAATTCGGCTCTCACGTCATCGGCTGACACCCATCCTCTAAGCCATCTTAATGATACCATTGCTTCTTCCTTCCTTCCTCGAGTCAAAAGCCATATCGGCGATTCGGGAATCTAAATAAGATAATAAAAATAACTTTTATTACTTGACACTAATATCTTAATAATTATTTAACCAGTTAGATAGACAACACACCAAACTGCAAACATATTTTAAGATTACTTAAAAATGTATAAAGCATAATTAGCAAAATATAATGTTTCATAATTAGTTAATTTCAGAATTATTAATCAATTAATTAAGCCATTTGTATTTTAACGGTTCGCACAACGTACATTTGGACTAATAACAAAGCTCTAACAAGGATTTCTGGGATCAGTTAAGTTTTTTGTAACCCAGAATAAGTGTTGTTAAGCTCTAATAAGTAATAAATACAAACTAATTAAATAAATACATTAGACACGTAGATAAATGCTAAAGATATAAATTTATACTGACAATAATTAATTTATAGATTAGGTTAGGTTAGGTTGAGTTATTAGTATAATAAATAAATATTTTTTGTTTACCAATAATATTGCTAAAATAGAGAAAATGGGTATCAAGCAACTGATGAGCATTGCTCGTCTCCACGAAAAGAAATATCCAAAAATAAACTCCACTAAATGGCCAATGACTACGTTGGAGTTGGTATATGTTGCTAAAATACCTCTGATTCGCGGTTCACTGATTTCCCCTATGTACGATAAGGTAGGCGCCTCCAAAAATCCCATACCGATGCCCATGACAAACGATGCGGCGTATAATGTCCGTACGTCCCGAGCCGAGTAGAGCATATACCAAGCGGCCAGATGAGGTATGTTCACTATTAACATGCTTTTCTTCCTGCCAAGTACTCCTTGTGCATATCCGGACAATACACTACCCAACGGTTGACACAACAGCATAATACTTCCTATTGCATTATTAAATACATAATATTTAAAAGAGCTGGCACAATTATTTAAATAAAAAATTAAACATTGAGAAATAAGCGATAAATTATTTGTAATACTTTCGGTTCAACGTACCAAACCACGAAGACTGAGAGTCGTCTAACGATAGACCGTCTTTAGCATTGTGAAGAAAACCAATCAAAACCGTTGGTACTGCTATCATCATGCCCAAATCCAACAATAGTAAACTCTGAGCTAACGTCACAAGTACCTATTAACAGTGAATTTCTCATTTCATACCCTGATGTAAAATTCAACGTAAATCAATTTAAATTAAATAAGCATGGTCGGTGGCATATTGGTCCAGACTTGGATAGGTACTTTATTTTCTCGAGGTCGTAGTTTTCTCTTCACAAAACCACTTTTTTAAGGTTCATCAAAATATGTAATTATTTATTAATTAATTAATTAATTAATTTTATTTTGGTAATATACGCCAAACGGCTTCTTATGATTGTCTTACAGACAATAAAGTGACATTTAAATTACATAAATTAACTAAAAAATATATATACAAGTATACATATTAAAAAGTAAAGAAACGAATGGTGTGGCCTTAATACAAATTATACCATACATTAATATAAAATTTCATCATACGATATAGAGCATTTTTGCATGCTAAATTTATATTTTTAATAACTTTAAAAAAAATCATGAATATTCTCATTTCCATCAACTCATACTTAAACCATATAATAAAATACTTTAACTCTATATCTGAATTTATTAATACTTTCAATCTGTACAAAAATAATTTTCTAAATATATTTTGTAGTAATATAAGAAGCATTAATCCTCATTTTGTTCAGTTACTACTATTTTTTTTTAAAAGTATGTTAATTTTTGACGCGTAAATGTAATTATTCTAACTGAAACTTGGCATGATATAAAAAATTGTACTTATGATTTGCCAGGTTTCCAAATGTTCTACACTAAAGTGAATAGAAACCAAAATTATGATATCATTGTCTTAATAAAACAAATTTTCTCCTTAGATTTTAATGAATATAGTAGTGAGGTTGCAAGTATTATTAATTTAAAAATATCTGATAATGCATACAATGTTCCAGTTAAGAGGACGCCACACCGGCCATTTCTAAGGAGTAAAGTATAGGCAATTTTTCGAAAAATCTTAATTTAGAGTTTGAACTATAATTTATACTTATTAGTACAGTAATGAGGATAATGTTGTTGTCTATATTATGTAAACATTTGGTTTCTTAGTTTTGATTATAGCCTTTGTAAAATTAATCCGCTCAAGGCGGGTTTTTTGAAGAAAAAAAACGGGTGTGTGACGTTCTCTTAATGTTTTATGTATTTATAGATCACCGTCACTTAATAATAATGGTTTTTTGGTTTATCTAAATTACATAATAAATAATAATAAATCGCTACAAAACCGAACAATAATAATAGGAGATATGAATATCAATATTATTGGATTGCTAATATACGGTAGTTAACTGTTTACAAATACCTGCGATAGAGTACTTCGATATGTATTCCGTTTTCTCAATTGACTGGCCTCGATTAGGTTCGACATCGGTTCTCTGTAAACATATATAACGTGGGCATCCAATTTAAATAGTATTTTTTTAAAACTTACACCTTAAGAGAGAGAAGTTATTTCCTGTAATAAATATCTACGCATTTCAAATATTCGAAGTTCGCATTGTGTATCAACACGCCACACTTGCGAGATACCGTTCTTACATGACAACTTGACTGTATTATAAACCTAAAGTTTTTTATAGAGCCATCTTTGTATTTTTTTGAAATGGCGTGTTGTTGTACACAAACTTCTAAAAACTTGATTTGTAAGCAACCTAAACAACTCATAGAAGGCTCAATTACACAATACACGTGTATACAATTGTATGGATTGAATTTACATATTTATTCCAATAGTAGTAGGTTCTTCTGGATTTTCGTTGTGCGTGTAGTATTCATAATAATGTATATACGAAATTCAGTTTCAATAAATGCGAACATGTAGAAAAGCCGAATAAGTTATGTCAACAAAAAAAAACAGCTCAAAGGATAAAAAAACGAAACAATTTCGAGAATTGTATTCACATCATATTATATGATGTATGTTTATTTCTTCAATGAAAAATGTTTTCACTCTAAAAAAAATCGAAATGAAGCTTTATAATTTTTTCTTAGTATATTAGTTTAAAAAAATATTCAATCTAAGTTTTTTGTAGATTTATAAAAAAATCTCAGTACAGTAGAGTCGTGACATAGTAGGGACGGAACTTATTGAGACAGGGAATTCACAAATTTACAGAAATGATAATTCAATTTTCTCTTTATTTTTTATTTTCCCTAATAAAATAAAAGATTAATTACATGTTTAACACTATTTTTTATTACCTTTCTAAATTTATCTTCTGTTTAATTATCAAACCATAAGACCCAAAACTACATCTACAAACACGAAATAAGGTAAAGTTGCCTCCTAATTTGGGTAAAAGATTCATGATATTTTTTTGGGGATTGTCAACGTTTAAGTACTTCATCTAAAGAATATTCTATACAAGTTTGAAACTAATATGGCTATTTTCAATAAAGTTATAGTGCGCCGTAATTTAAGGTTGAAAAATATTATACAAACTTTTAGTGTGTTTTTCTCGATTTTTAAGAGGAAGGGGTAAACTTTTAAAGTTGTTTGCCTAATAAAGTATTATTTACGTACGATTACAGGTACATAGACTTGCTACAAGAAGAAATCGGTTCAGCGCTTTAAAAGATGTCCAGTTACAAAAAAAAACATATTATTTTTAAAATAATACATTCTCAGCTACACATAGAAGCAAAAACCTGTATTTTTATATGAGTTCATAATATTGTGGACATTTGTGTTAATTTATTACCTATAATTTTAAAAAAATATCATGCAATTTTTATAAAAACAAGTTGTATTTTTTATGTATGTATATACGATTCTTTATTAACAATAGTTATATTGTATTGTTATTTTTTTTTCTTATGGCATGAACTAAATTATGTGCGATTCACACACAAAATCGCTTAGAAAACTGAAGTAGTACGAAAATATTTTTTTTAAATTTTTTTAAAACAAATATTGATCACTTTTTGTGTTGATTTTACATAAAATAAGACTACATTTAATTTACAGTCATGCAGGATATCGTAACTGAAACTGACCAAACACATACGGAAATCCAAGGAATAGTAGGTGACAATATCGTTTAGGGTTTGCATGTTTAAAAATACAAAAATAGCGTATTTATTATGTAAAACTACTTTTTTTTTGTTTGTTCAAAAGTTAAAAATAATAACAGAAAAAGCACAAATTACTCGTAATCACTTCAATATTTTCCGACACAATTAAATAATTTCAACTGATTTACGATATTGCCAATTTAGAGAACAAAAAAATTAAGGGGTTTCTAAAAAGTATTAAGTAACAGATTTTAAATTATGCTGGCGGAAAACGGACACGGTGATAACGTTCGAGGGTAATTTTGGCGGAGAACGGCGACTCCTGTCACACTTTTTATTTTATTTTATAATTATGCCTAATATGATGGATTTGCAAATAATTTATAATTATAATATAATCATGGCTGTTACTTACCGTTCGGTCGGGTTCATCATTAGTAGTAGTGTATAAAACAAAATGAACTTCCAACAACACCGAAGTGTTCTTTGCAGACTGTCGATACACGTCAACGATCATACAATAACACCGGACAGTTGTAAAGCAGGAGGGCATTAGAAGAGTTACCGTGTGCGTACTTAATGTTGTAGTTGTTAGGTTTCCTTTGTAGACCTTGTAATGCATTTTGACAAGACGTCTCGGTAATCAATATAAACAAGTACACGGGTTACGTGTACAAGTCGATTGTAAAAACAAAACTCGCGTTTACTGTGTACTTAATTATTTGTAAATTAAAGTCGATGTAATAACATATGGAGATATGTACCACTTGAAAGTATATGTTATTTTACCTTAAATTACAATGTTCAATTGATGTGTTCTGTTTAATTGTTCGTGTTATCTGGATTTAATTTAGTTTTAATATTTTATGTAAATGGTTTTAGACATATTATGTTTATATAATTAAGTGAATCAGTGGATTATTGTGAAAGTATAATTAGCGTATTTTATATTTTATTTTTACTGTCTACTGTGTTACTACTTAATAAAAGAAGAATGTTTTACAATAATGGTAAAATACGGTTTAAACATAGTTTCAGCCCTTAATTTATGATGCATCGGAAAACATAGATGCTAACAAAATTTACGTTGTTAAAATTTGTTTTATTCGTTGATATGGATAAATTTTATTTTAAGCAACGAAAATGTTATACTAGTTGTATGACTGTCATTCATAGAAGTATATAACGACAAGTAGAGGCAACTTAAGCAAGTTGGTTAAAGATGTAATGTTGAAAAATATTAATTAAAAATTAGAATTTGTGTATACATCTCCAGCATTAGTGACAACGACCAATATTTGTCACAAAATTGGGGTTCATACGAGCATTATAAATTATTAAACTAGGCTAAGCTTAAAATGTATAGTAAAATAATTTTTATAAATTCTTACTAATGGTATAAATACTTAATATTAATAGAATATTTTCGATTTGGGTTTTCGTTTTTGTTTATATTTTCATCAAAAATATTTTACTTAATTATACAGTTTTAAACATTATGTATTTACGTTTTATCTTGCAATTATAAGATTAAAAGTCATAATAAGATTTTAAAATGGCTACAATAGCGTATTTGTAATTGAAAATCCAGATTTTCAAATTCCATTTACTAGTTATAATATGATAGATGAAAACTCGTGTATAGAAACACGTTTTTAGTTGGTTTTGGTGTCGGATTTGATGGAAGCATACGAATGAATGTGTCTGAATCGGTTTCAAGATACAATATTAAGCTCACCATAGGTGTCAGATATCCCAATAACGCGTAAGAGGGGACGGCGGTGATTTCTTTAGGAGTATATATTACTGCGATGAGGCGATTATTTTTTCCGCCTTAAAACATTTGCATAGATGTGGCTCGTTTGAGTGCGTATTTTGCCTTTGTTTGACGCCCACGTACTCGGTGTATCCGTCGACGTGGTCGTCTTTAGCCGTTTGATTCCATTTGCGGCTGTATGGATTTTCCACCACCGACGGTACGCCCCCAAATTCGACAGGGCGGGATGGTTCGTTCTGAAACCCGCCACCAGAGGCTAACGTTTGCGCGCATCCACGGCTATCGATCGACCGAACGACCGCAGTGTGATACGCGTGCAAGTGCAAGTGTAGTCGACGACGCCTTTGACCGACAGTCATTTCGCACGCCCCGAATCAAAGGCAAGGCGCACGATAATAATAACAACAACAACAAGGCATATTATACTCAATAGACACAGTAAATGTCGTATAGAATACCGGTTGCCGCGTTGTAGAAAACCACAAAAACGGTTGCAGTTGTACTTCGAGAGCCGCAATAGCTCTTGCGCGTAGCCAAGTTCCAGTAAAGCAGTCAAAATTCCATTCTCAACGTTCAAACAGTCTTTCACCACCAATGTCAATTACTTGAAACGGAGGTGAGATCTCTACTGGGTCCAGTACACTTTATACGTGTACCCAGCAGTCATATCTTAGCACTAACAATCGTAATAGGGCGTAGAGAGTAGAGTAGTCGAGTATTATTATTTGTATTTGGTTAATTTGTTTTTATCAATAACCGCCCAAAATTGTGTTATTCTTATACTAATACAATTATACTATTTTGATTGAGAGCTACCATTGATAATGCAAAATAAAATGTTATTATTATCCGCTTAAAAAAAATAAACTCTAATATAGTTTGGAACTTGCTTGTTCGTTAAAAGTTTAAAAAAAATTAATTTAATTGTTTAATAAAATAAAGCGCAGGCTAATACAATGCGTCAAATTAATATATGCTAAAGTACAATTAAAAAAATATGTGATTGTGCCTGAAAATACATTAAAGAGAATTGTCTCATTTGAAACTATACAAATAAAATATAGTCTACAATCTATTATAACATAATAACTATATATAAATCGCGTTAAACAATTATTGATGCGTGTTTTACAAAAATGTGATTAGTTCTCGTAAACATTTCAGTGGGTAATATCTTTACTGGAATATTGAATTCGCATTACACATTCGTCTTTCAGGCAAATCATCGTTGTCGCGAGATCTCATAAAGTATTTACTATATATCACCATTATTTGCCTAACAGGAAAATTTGCTAACATATTAAGATAATCCTTATTAGTTATTACCTATAGCAATTCTGGAAAATAATTTACTTATTTATTGGCGTAGGAAAAAATCGGTTTTACTAAACACCTTTTTTTAGATTTTTGAAATCGTTAACCAGTATTTTTTGTGCCACTTTCGACTCTTCACGAACTTTGTGCTTGCACGCAATTAATTTAGAAAAAATAGACGTTAAAAATGTGTAATGCAGTATGTCATATGTCCTGTTAAAAACGGGATTGTCCCTTTTTGCACCCCGGTAGTTGCAACATTAAAGACATGTGGAACCAACTATTTCAAAAAATCTAAAGAACATAAGACAATTTAGGCAAGTCGTTTATTAATAAACCAAATAATATTATTGTTTTTTTTTTAATAGTTTTAAATGTTTTTAGAGGCGTTTTTTTTAGAGTTAAGACAAAATAGTTTGTACCGTTTTATAAATAAAAAAGGTGTTTGGGAAAGGCAATTTGTAGTACAAATTTATAAATTGTGTAAAGGCATAAACATCATAGATATCCTACAATTATTTTATTAGATTTAATGCAAAGATTTTTCACTTGAAAGAAGAAGTAAGGTTATTAAAGATGAAAAATATAGGTAATATTTGACAAAATTTTTCCTATGGCAAATTTTAGTGAAGTCAATTTTTTAAATCGATTTTGGATATAAGTTTGCACATGTTAATTGTTTACTTATTTTTGAGCCACGGTGACATTAAAATAAAGAAGACGTCTATAAGAAAAGCTCACAGGGTTATATTATTTTCAACTGTGTTTTTTCTATAAAAATACAAAAAGTGCTTGTAGGTCGCTACGATATCGGGTTTTAAATTTGTTTAATTATTAATTTACTAAAATGCAGTTAAAAATTCAAAATATATCCTATTTAAATGGGATTTTACAAATAACTTGACAACAAAATTTAATTTTCAAGGACCGTAGTGCCTATAGAATTAACAATAAAAAAAACTAATTATAAAAATAAAATTGAAACCATGAGAGTTTTTACGCAAAATGCTTTTTTAGTACACTATTTCGTCCCTTAATCAGAGGTCTAAACGGATTATTAAAAAAAATGTATTGACAGTATTGAAATTTAAATGAAAAACAGTACAGTATTACAAATTGATTCGAGTTATTAGAGTTTTAACCTTAACGCCTTTAAATATACATGTAATACTTGATCAACAGCAATTTTTATTGATAATATTTTTAAATGATTTTGTAGATTTTCTTCCGGGGATCTATCCTCGGAAGCAGATGATGCTGATCCGTCGATGGCGCCAACCGATCGACCACCGGCTCAGTCGCAGCAGCGCGCTCAACAGCGCCAGTATGCGTCTAAGACGTCACGGTCACAGGCTGCTACTCCCGCTTCTGAGAACGCGGACATGCGATTGGAATTCCAGGCGACAGGTAACCGGACAATTAGCGCACCGACAAGTCCTGCAAAGACCCGGGATTCTATCTTACAACGTGTTCAATCGCTGACGGACGCGGCCAAGGAGAAGGCCAGTTCTCTCAGCAACGACATCAAGTGTAAGTCATATTTGCCAAATCTGAGCAATCTAATACACATGAATCACCAAATGAAAGTATAATAATATTTAAACGTACGATCTATTTAAAGATATAAATGCATAACTGTCTTCATTAGTTGAGAATGTAGGTTCGAAAAGTAATATCGTTGGTGCACTACATTCTAATATAGCAAGTATTGATGTGTAGTTAGGATGTAATACGCTGATAGAAATGACAATTAGTGCTCAGATCTTCCCGATCTTCATAAAAAAGTTTGACAATCTATTTATAATATATATTCATAGTGTATATTTTATGTAGATAAAATGAATGCTATTAGTCAATGTTTATGAACCCAATTAAGATATTGCGCTGAGTGGACATTTGTACATTAACAATAAAGTTATCGTTGAAATAACATAGCAGTAATATAAGATATGGATTAAAAGACAAAACGCAGTAATACTAAGAAAACTTCAATTGCATAAAATTAAAGATAAAAACTTTTCTTATTAAATGTTCGTATTTACCAAAAATACCTTGCCATCATTTAGGGGAACTTAGATATATATAAGATCATTAACGTAGATGGTAATTTAATGTTCATTGTGTATCAAATAAACTATTATGGTCGATGACATAGTCTCTTTTCTTAATGACACATCGCCGAATATCTTTTAGCAAGTGGTCAATACTTGCATAGAATAAAAAGACAAAAAAATGTATCACAAATCTTAGGAGTCTTACAATTATTATGAAGTATAATGATTTCCCGAAATAAAAAATGCGATGCTTTATCTTTTTTATACCAGATACATTGGTATAACTAAATATTATTAATATACAATATAATATAATAATAGAAAAATAAAAATTTCAAACAAAAAAAATACACGTTTGGCAGTTGACATAAATTATGAAAATTCAGTAATTATGTAAGATGTGATGAAATGGACCCACGTCAGTATTGTTTTAATAATTAGTTAGTTAGTTAATAATGTCCATAACGAATTTTTATTGATAACTTATAATTTAGTTTAGGCGATGGTTTTTACTTATATTTTGCTTTGGTTATCATAATGTTTTTCAAATTTAAGGTTTATTTTTGTTTAACAGACGCCGCTGCAACTAGACGCCAGCAGCGAGCAAGTAAAGATCGTCTGTTAACGTTGCTTGTGGTTGATGACGAGAACCTCGACTGGTAAGTTAACAGTGTTCAACTATCAATCGTTTAGTACTCAATTGATATTGAATTTAGGTCTAGATATTTCCGAGGTAAGCGTTTCTTCGGAGACTTCGAGATACAAGTCGAACAAGCAGACATCAAGGACTTGACCGTCACTGCGAATACCGAAAAGGGATGTACCGTTAGCATGGTGGTGTTACAGCCATCCGGCTCTAAAATGATCAGATCGTTTAAGCCAGACTTTTTTCTATGTCGACAAAGTTTAAGAGATGCCTCTAAAGATTTCAGAAATGTTTTGCTTGGACTAAACATCGGTGGCGTGCCTAGTATTAACTCACTAACTTCTTTGTACAACTTCCAGGTAAATATGGTACACAATAATTTATTTTTAAGCTATGTTTGAACAATATATGTCATTTTTTTAGGATAAACCGTGGGTTTACGGACAACTAGTACAACTTCAAAAGAAACTCGGCAAAGAAAACTTCCCATTAATCGAGCAAACTTTCTATCCAAGTTCCGGTGAAATGGTAACAAAACAAATGTTAACATAATGAACTAAACTTTTTAAAAAGTATTTATGTACTTCTTTAGTCGGTGGCTACTCAAGTGCCCTTGGTTCTTAAAGTCGGTCATGCCCATGGTGGAGTAGGTAAAATAAAAATAGAAAACAATTCGGATTTTCAAGACATGACTTCAATCGTGTCTGTCGCGTCTACTTACTGTACCACCGAACCATTTATCGATAGTAAATATGATCTACACTTGACCAAAATCGGTACTCATTACAGAGCTTTAATGTGAGTATACATTTTTTTTTACAAAACATGCAATACAAAAAAATCAATTTTTCATAACTCTTTTCAGGCGCAAGAGCATAACGGGTAATTGGAAGTCGTGCGTTGGTTCGGCCATGTTGGAAGAAACCGAAATGTTAGAAAGATATAAGTTTTGGTTGGATTCCGTAGCTGAAATCTTCGGAGGATTGGATATATTGGCATTAGAAGTAGTCGTATCCAAAGAGGGAATCGAGCATATCATCGGTGTTAATGATTCGGCGTTATCGTTGCTTGGAAATCAACAAGAAGAAGACAGAAGACATATATTTGATCTGGTTATTGAACGATTAGAGGTATGTTCACGAAAAGAATACTTTTACAATTTGTAGCAAATTACACCAAGATTTAACTATAAATTAGAATAAAATCAGGAAATTGTTTTGTTTGTGTAAAAATATGTTTACTAAAATGTAACGAATATAAAGTGCTAAATGGGATAACGTAGGTTTTGTACACGTTAAACAATATTTGTTTTGTTTTATTATCAACAAAGAAGCCCTATTATGGTATTCATCTTTGTGTATGACTTACAAATAGAAATATTTTGTCATTAGGAAATATTAACAAATTTAGAATGGAATTCTTACTGAAATTAAGGTGGATTTATCAAACATATAAATTACATAGTATTATGCAGTTTAGCCTTTTAGTATATTTTCTTAATTTCCTTTTTCTGTGATAAATAATCGAACATAAAATAATTTTCTAATTTTATATGTTATAGACTCAAGTATTGGCGAACATGGGCCCTCAGACCGGTTCTGTTCCTACGCAAGAAGAAGAACCACCCGCTATACCACCAAGAAGAGATTCAATATGTAAATATCTAACCATGACTATTTCGTTACCAAAGTGTTGTGCCTTGGGATTGTTACTAAACTTGGGATTTACATATAATTAAGTTATCTTTCACTAAACGAGTATGAACATTACGTACACCCAATATTAAAAACAAATGTTAACAATTTCTAGTCATTGTCGCACAATAAAAAATGGTTAACAAAAAGGTTTAAGAACTTATTACTTAAACCATATTTCCCCGGTTTAAAGGCATTACTAAGTGCATTTATTGGTATATTTTTAATATACTACATTAAGCGCTTATAACAAAATATTAACTAATATTTTATGTATGATTTTAGTGTCGGAGTGTAGTATGACAAGCAATCCGGCGAGTCAACCGGTTAAATCATCATTAAGCCGCCAGGGATCTATTGTTTCGGCCACTCCTCCTTTACAACAACAGGCCAATAAAGCACCATTGGATGACAGCGAAGATACAATGAAGAACTTGCGTAAAACGTTTGCAGGCATATTTGGCGAAATGTAAACATTAATATTACTGAACTTTTGAAAAAACCCGTTAAAATCATTTAGCGTTACACCATTTAATAATTGAAAAATGCTAAATAACTCCATTTTTTTTTACTAATGTAGAATAGCAAACTTTATTTTATCATAAATGATAATAAAATAATTTTAAGAATAATCCAATACACTAACTAATAACTAAGATATTATGGGATCAACTAAGTGAATCCTTTTAATGGTTAACTTAAAAAATGAATACGGCTTATTATTTGTTTATACTTAACTTGCTAAATTGTTCTAGAAAACTTTTATACCCACACTCACAATTAGTTAAATTTAACTGCGTGTTCTTAAGAATAAAATCGTTATAGTTAAATATTACTTAATCCTACTTCTAAATACATTTTTTAGGTTTTATTATAAATATTAATAGATAAACTATACGTTGTGTGATTAGTTAAAGCAATACCATTATATATACATGATATATTACACTATATAGTTAGTACTGTAGGGCCGCGTTTTAGAATAGACGTATAAATGCATACCATATATACCATTTATTTCATCTTTGCATATTACATATTTTAATTTTCTTAAATATCTATAATAATAGTATTTATTGTTTTTTCCTTTAACAATTTAATAATTCTCGCTAGTCGTTAAAATTGTGTTAACACCAACAATAATATGAACCTAAGAACAAGCATATTTTTCATTATTCTTAAATGCAGGCACGTTATCTGTAATTGTTTAAAAAAATATTACAATACTATGTTATTATAATAAAAGTACTGTTAACAAATTACTAATTATATAATTAATAAATAAGTAGATTCACTTTTGTTTAATAGCTATTTGCTATAATATTTATATTCAGTGATACACATATTATAATAATTCATAATATTTACATATTATATTATCATTCATAATATTATAACACAATTTTTTTTATTTTGTTATAAACTCGATTCTATTTTGAACGAATCATGGTTATTTATTTAAATTAAACATTTAAAGTAATATACTATTATGGTTATTTAATTTGTTTTCTACTATAAAATTACGAATATATATGGTTGCTCGATATGTTAATAACTATCAACAATGTTAATGGTCCAAACATGTGTTGGCTGTGAAAACAATTTTAAAATTTACGTAACTATCACCATTGAGTATATGTTCTAATCTGTACTCATTATATGTTATATACTCAATGCTATCACTATATAGGAAGTCAATGAAATGAAATGGTATTATTTTGTTTTTTTTTAATTTTCCCCTCAAAAATATACTCGATTGATGATAGATCAATCCAAATTTCAAATCAATTTTTTATGAACTTCCCCGGAAATAAAATGTTATAAGTATTCGAGTACGTTCTATATAACACAATTTTGATACTTGATACCATTTTCTTATGACTATATTAATACTTGTATTTTTTTATTTATTCACGTGAAATAATTCTAATTTTGGTTCATCACATTCTAGGTACATAGTAAACTTATTCAGAATGCAGTTTTTAAACAAAAAATTATGGTTAACACTAAAAAATCTAAAATTAAGTCAACTAGCTAAGCATGCTGCAGCAACCGCTATACATATCAGTTTCATAACTACTAACTAGAATAGGAAAATCTGTCGTACGTTCTGTATTTTATCCTTTCAGATAGCTTACATATTTTTTTTGTTTAACTGGTTTTGATTAAGTTGGCTGGTTTATGTAATACTAACCAAACTATTTAAGATCCAGTATTACAATAATGTCATTTCAATTAAAAATAAAACTAAACTTGACTATAGAGTTATCATGCATTTTAAACAAGGCCAATATAAAAAAAAACTGAATAATAATAATATTTTCTCGAAAATACACTACACAAACTTTTGTTTAAAGCTGTATTTTTGATATAATTACATTGTCAATGACTTATAGTTAAACAAAATGTATGTGTATGTATTTACCCCCCAACTCATTAATATCCATGCATATTTTAGGCGGCATATAACTTAAGTTTAAACTTACAAGTTTTGTAATAATTCAAAGAAGTGGTAAGATAATGATTATTGTTAAATTATAAACTAACTAGAGCTTCGCTACGCCGGGTACGCTCACGATCCCTCGCTGCAAAGTATTTTCGAATTTTCATTATGCAATTTTCTAATCTTATTCAGGAAAATGTACATAAAAAAGCGGTTTAGTGAGACCATACACAAATTTTGGAAATTTTTTACTTATATAGTTTTCGAATTTATTTAGGTCCATCTTAAAAAAAAAATCAGGATATTAGCGGTTAACTTTTTTATCAGATCTTAAAAATTAAGTACAGTTTTATTGTATTATAATTACACGACAACTATACACCGCCTTTAAACATTAAATGGCTTAATGATTAAGCCAAACTGGTGAGAACAGTCATTTCATAATGACATTTGCAATAATATTTATATATAAATACTCAAAGAAGAGTATCATCTCAATTAAGTCGATGTATAAAAGATATCGATAACATTTTCTTAGTTTACATACAAAATGTATAGTTAATATATTAGAGTGTAATATATAACATTAGGGTGATCCTAATTTTTAAAGTTTCAAATTTCAATCGAATTTTGGAGAAATAAAATTTACCTCTATTACTAAGGGCTACCCTAAATTAATACGTAGGAAATTAATTCATGGTAGGATCAAAGAGAACTGTACCCAGTTTCCTCCCCTCACTGTTCATTGTGCGCCCGTGTATTTATGATCTTTAAACAATATAAGTGTTAATTAGGAATAATTAGTGTTTAACATAAACGTTATTAAAGTGTTTTGCATCGTTCAAAATATCCCTGCCAGGAACTTGTGTGTCTGTACGTCTGTAACCAAATAGTGTTTATGCGATGTTAGGTAGAATAAGGAAACTTATTGTACTCCATTAATTATGTTTCAATCTTTCCACCTTCAACTAAGAGTGTGGCTTGTTTACTAGAACTGCGTAAGAGCTATTACTAGTTGTTGATTGGCGTACTGTTATTAAGCTAAATCATATTTGTTTATATGGAATATGTTGTTTCCGACGCTTGAAAGCTCACTGGCTTTAAAGCTGTTTCTTGAACCTAAATAACTCAAAAACCGAAAAATGTTTCTATGCATTACACCTGTAGCTTAAAATATTAAAAAGGATTAATAATATGTAACATTTTTGTTAATAAGATAACAATTAAAGTATAAAAATGCTAATTATGAGGAAATATTTAATATATTTTAATTTAAAAAATGTTTATGACTTCTTGTAATTTCTACAACTTCTGCAACTTAACATTCAATCAAATGGATGTAACAAATTATGTAGAATAAATTGGCGTAGCTAGAAACAAAGTACTTTTAGGCTTCAGTCTAAAGTCGGGTAATTGATTATTAATTATACTTAATTAATTATAAATTAAGAAAATACAGATTATCTGTAAATACTCATAACAAATATTTAATGAAATGACATTTATAATTATTTGTTTCTTTTTTTAGTTTTATCAAATAATTATGGTGTTTTAATTATAAATGGTATCTAACAATATAATAAATAGTAAGTTCTTAAGCTCTTATAAATTCTGCTGTCTAACAGCTGATAACGTATAATGCAAACTTCGAAATCTCTTGTTACAGAATTCAATTTATACAGTGAGAGACATCAAAAATCTAAATAAACTTGGTTAATACTTTATCGCACGGTACAGTCAAACGCTTTGAACCGGGGACTCAACAGTATTATAATTTTGTATTTTATATAAAAAAACCCATCCTATTATATTTTTATATCCAGAGATTTAACTCATTTGTACTACATAGGTCAACGCGAATTTCGAGTCTGGATTACGAGTGCTAGACTCTCATTCCTTAACAATTTGGAAAATTTAAAGAAAATGTATATTTTTGTCTGAAACTTGCTTTTTGTAACTATGAAACGAAAATAATGAAGCTTATCATCAAAATTATGTCTTTCGAAAAAAGTCTCACATCTCGTAGAGTAGTCAGTTTTCGATAACTTCCTTTTTTAGAAAAAAAAAAAGAATTCCTACAGAGCTTTATGGACTTCTATATTCATAACTTAATTTCTTAATGCGATAATAGAATTTGAATAAGACCATTCCGTACTTAAAGCTGGCCATTTGTTATGTTTAATAAAATTTCATTGATTAGGAATCAATTTAATTATCAATTAACTTGTTAGTTTAAATTAATTTAATGAATTAACTAGAGTTAATATCATATAAAAAAATTCACATCATATTAAAATACAATATATTTATTATAAAATAATTATAAGAAGATATTTTCTCAATTCCTATATAATTATTGTTATTCATTCTCTGATCCTTTGAGATATACAAGTTAATCAATTAGCTTATGTCATATTTTTCTTGTCGTTCAACGTAGCCACTTTAAGTCCACTTAATAACAGTGTTACTGCGGTCGTTATTACAAGGTTGAGAAAATGAGAAATATTTTGTTTTATTGACTGAGCTTACTTGCTATTGTATCGTCTGAAATGTGCATTATTTTTAACAGACGTTCTCCTACAGTTATAGTACACATTTATTTATTCATCATAAAGATGATATTGCCCATAGGGCAAATAGTACAGATAATTGTAAATAACTGTAGAATAAGTTTGTAAATATAAATTATGAGTAAAATAGTAAATAGTAAAATTAACTTAGTGATGAAATAATTGCAGTGAACAATAAAGTAACAAATATGAGTAAATAATGATCATTAGTACACAATATGAAAAACTAAAAATATTACAACATGTTAACCATAATAAAGTTGATGAAGCATGAATGATGCCAATGTTACTAGTTTTATTTCATAAGTTAAGCATGCGATTTACCGGCGAGATGCTACTATAATTCTGTGCATGGATAGGTGTATAAAACACAGGAGAGGAGCAAAGTGATACTTGTGGAACATTAATGGGTATTAAATTCAAAATTTCTAGACAGTCAATTCTATTATTGAGTAAATTATATATCCAGTAAACATCCAAACATTTTCTTCTGCATACAAAAAAATACATTTTTAGTTTATTTAGCAATTTATCGTGCTTAGTTTCATTACTATTAATTGATGTTGTAATGATTCCATCTTACTAATATCACAAGTCATTTACGGAACCCATACAATAGATCCATAATCCAAGATAGACTGAACAAGTGCAATATATATATACATTTTTTAAGCATGCAATAAATTGATATTCATTACAATTCCGACAAAAAAAGTACGTAAAGCTTTTTTGCAAATATATATAATGTGTTTCGTAAAGACTATCAGTAAAATTTATCCAAATCAGACTGCAATTTATATTAATCGTTGGGTGATTTAATTTGTATATATAGCTTCAAATCGTCGGCAAATAACAAACACACAATCGTTAAAAACGTTACAAAGATTATTTATAAATACTACAAATAAAAGAGGAGACCTACCTGGGGCACACCTCATGTAATATCAATGATAGAAGACGTTGACTTTGCGATTTTAACTATTTATTTCATATCCTTAAAATATGATGAAAACCATTTAATCGTCGGAATAACTATTCCCATTGAGCTCATCTTATTAATTTATATTGAGTAGTCAACACTTGCCTGTTTTTAAGTCAGTGTAGATGAGACTACAGACATTAAGTCCGTGTAATATACTAACAAATTTGTAGCTGTAATCCTTGATAAATCTTCATATTTTACAACTTTAATTACGCCGCTCTTTAAATTTTTTAAAAATAGTCAAATTAGTTCCAAATTTGTATGAATTAATATTGTTTAGACGTAGTACTACCGATCAACGTTGACAAACCAAAAACATATCAT